ATATATATGCATGTGAATGTGAAAACATTTGTAATGGGAAACCACAATTGTATCAATTGTTACATACAGACACACGTGTTAACGGTTACCAACCTCAGTCGCCCTTCCTGCCCGTCGCACTTGCATTCCCCCACCCAATCCCCGCCCACGCCCTCGAACAGATCGAGCGTGGTCGAACTCGAAGCTCGAGCACGCGAAGAACAACGTCAGTCATGAAGCCACGGACAAGCCAACCCTTCTCGCCTCTAAAGTCACCCTCAGTAGAATGTCTTCCCACAATATCCTCTTGTTTTTTTATCCTACTCCAATCCATATTTTTTCATCGCCTCAGTGTGTGAATTTCGTAGAGTTTTTCCATGCATTGAGTGTTATATCTGTTTATAAATAAATGTCTGATTGTAATCATATACAAGATCGACATCCTAATAGACAAATCTTCAAAAAATTATTTACTTTTCAAATCTGTCTTTGCGTGTAAACGTAAAAAGTATATATAAGACATATTTCTTCGATAGGTCAGACTTGCCGCTATCACCGAACAGAACTAGAGCCGAATCTTAACCATCTATAACGCATATGAATAACCAGAGTTTACGAAACAATTAAATCGTTAAACACACATGATATTGGATATAGCTACAATATCATATACTTATGAGGGACTCCCCTGAAGCTATTAACGTTTTCTCTTGACGTGATCCACATGTTTATTAGAGAATTAGATGACTTAATTTGAATCAAAGTAATGTTGTTGTTTTTTTCTGCAGTCACATAATTCTGTAAGAGTATTAAATCTTCGTTAGCGGATTATTGTCCCCAAGTTAGGTCACTGTGAAACAAAGTATGTTACATTGACATGTGATCTTAACAATGGTAAAACTAAATGATGAAAATATAACTAACTTATCTCTTTATGGTTTCCTGAACATTACTATAACCAGTGCACATCGAACTATAAGTTTTTCATAGGATGAAGTTTACTTTCATGAACATGTGGTGATGAAGAATATTTATGGCATCGCGTATAAAACAAATAATATTTACTTGGAAACGATTATATTACTCTCAACTTAAATGCATCAACTGTCGCCTTATGAATTCCTAAAATTACTCGAGATAAACTCAACTGTAAACAATATTAAGACCGTCGTCTAATTGTATTTTTTTCCACCCCGGCAGGGAATCGAACCCCGGGAGCAAAACAGGCGGGGATACTAACTACTATTCTACCGAGAAATACATTTTGATTTAAAGTGGGATATCTTTAACTGATATTTAAATGTCTTTTTACAATCCTTTTGGATGAAACCTTGCTAATATTTGCCTTTCCTCTTGGTGTCCGTGGTATCTGTTAACTTATTTCTTCTTCTTTTTTAATAAACAAAAGTTTTCTATTTGTTTTCTTTTTCATAGAGAAACAGACAAATAAAATAATATATTTCAATTAAATAATATACGACTTAAATATTCAATGATATATTCAATTAACATGGGTTACAATCCCTTTGTATTGGGGACTTTAAATTCAGAAAGACCAATTAAAGTGAAAATGTTATAAACATTAAACCAATGAATAAACAACAGACATTTTTATATCTCACCTCTAGACTTAGATTTTATGAAATCTTATTTATATCTTAACAAGTTGTCCAATATGTATAAATATATAAATAAATATATGCATATTTGTGTATACATATTTACATGTATCTATACACGTTTTTTCCTGGCAAGCACTGGAAGCACATGGGCACACAAACACGTGTGTGAGCACATACATGTGTAAATATACATATACATGCAAACACACACACTTGTGTCTGCGTATGTATATGTATGCTATATGTGCGTACATATATGTACATAAACATACACATGTATAAAAAAATATATAGTCGCTGCTTAAAAAGGGAAATGTAAACGTTGCGTCTTATCGCGACCTACATTTCTTCTCTTGGGGTATATAAAGGTGCAAGGCTTGCGAGCCAGCATCACTTCTTGCAGTCTGCACTACAAGTATATCGATAATATCAACATGAAGACGGTAAGTCTGTTAGCATTCTGGCTCCATGTCAGGCGCCATGCAGTGCTAGTAAGTAATAATAATGGGGGGATCAATATTCACTAACATATATTAACGTTCCAGCTGCTCTTGCCCTTGCTGGTGGCTGTGGCTGTGGCTGAGAGACCACCTCTCTCCTACGACGCTCCTGCACCCCACACATCCTCGCCCGTTCAGCAGATCCCCATCATCCGCGACGAGCGAGTCCATCCTGCAGCTGACGGCACTTACAGCTTTGACGTTGAGACTGGAGATGGCATCGTCAGGCACGAGTCTGGCGGTCCAGGTGGCGCTCAACAGGGAACCGTGAGGTTAGTTCAGCACACACATATATATGTGTGCATGAATGTATGTGTGTGTGTATGTATATTTGTGCACGCACATTTATAAATATACGTGTATATTAAACTATGGTTTCTTTTCAGCTTCACCTTCCCAGATGGCCAAGTCTTCGATCTTCAGTTCGTCGCTGATGTTAACGGCTACCAACCTCAGTCGCCCTTCCTGCCCGTCGCCCCTGCATTCCCCCACCCAATCCCCGCCCACGCCCTCGAACAGATCGAGCGTGGTCGACTTGAACTCGAAGCTCGCGCCCGCGAAGAACAACGTCAGTTATCAAGCCAGGGACAAGCCAACCCCTCTCGCCAATACGGCCAACCTCAGTAGTGCTCCCTCACTGAATTTCAACGACAGTATACTCTTCTTACCTTGTTATTCCACTCTCTCTATATTTTGCTTTCTTTGTTTATCGCCCCACTATGTGAATGCCGTACATCGTTTCGCTATGCATTGAGTGTTATATTTGTTTATAAATAAATATGAATTAAGATTTCTGACAGTATTTCTATAGTTTGACATCCAAGTACAAAAACTTCTTCCACTTGTATTCACAAATGTGTCGTTGCGTGTTAACGTATACTGTGCATATATATTACCAACTGCCTTCGTCAGATATCCTTCTGAGCCAAATTTATCCATTTTTTAATGTCGTCTCAGTAGTATTCTGTTGAATTATGTTGAGATCGTCGTCTTAGTAGTAAAATTTTCCTCCCCGGCGGGGAATCGAACCCCTGTCTCCCGCGTGACCGGCGGGGATACTTACCACTATACTACCGAAGAATCCGATAAACATTGAGCAAAATTAGAAATATATCCTGCTATTTTTGATTGATATTTAAGTCCTTTCATACACCTTTTCATCAGAATCCTTACTAATTATGTCATTCTTCACGGTGGTCGTGCCATTTGTACTTTTTTGTTTTAACTTTCCAATAAGCAAACACAAATCGTTACTCTTAAGATTATATATAGATCTGTACAAACATACAATTAATTCGTTTCTTTTCTTCAAGTTAAACGTCCTCTATTATACTGTAATGATTTTTGTTAAAATATTCATTTAGATATTCGATTTATATTATATTCATTCCCTAGACATTGGTCAGAAACTTTAAATTAGAAAGGCCTGAATTGAGGTGAAATTATTTTCAATACAAGCTGTATAAATTACATATATATGTGCGTGTGCCGAACATATGTACCTATATAGTATAAATATATATCAGATATAGATATATATGTGTATGTGAACATGTGTGCAATGCTTTCTATCAGTTGCTACATATGAATGTGTTCAAATATATTCATGTGTATACGCATACATATAAAGCATATTTAACAGGTCTTAAAAAGGGAATTGTAAATGCTACGTCTTATCGCAGCCTACATTTCATCTCTGAAAGTCTGTTTCTTAGCATTCTGGCTCCATTATCAAGCGTCATAAAGTGTTAATCAGTAGTATAAAAATGGGGAGATCAATATTCACTAACATATATTAATGTTCCAGCTGCTCTTGCCCTTGCTGGTGGCTGTGGCTGTGGCTGAGAGACCACCTCTCTCCTACGACGCTCCTGCACCCCACACATCCTCGCCCGTTCAGCAGATCCCCATCATCCGCGACGAGCGAGTCCATCCTGCCGCTGACGGAACTTACAGCTTTGACGTTGAGACTGGGGATGGCATCGTCAGGCACGAGTCTGGCGGTCCAGGTGGCGCTCAACAGGGAACCGTGAGGTTAGTTCACCACGCACATATATATGTGTTCATGAATGTATGTGTGTGTGTATGTATATTTGTGCACGCACATTTATAAATATACATGTATATTAAACTATGGTGTCTTTTCAGCTTCACCTTCCCAGATGGCCAAGTCTTCGATCTTCAGTTCGTCGCTGATGTTAACGGCTACCAACCTCAGTCGCCCTTCCTGCCCGTCGCCCCTGCATTCCCCCACCCAATCCCTGCCCACGCCCTCGAACAGATCGAGCGTGGTCGACTTGAACTCGAAGCTCGCGCCCGCGAAGAACAACGTCAGGCATCAAACCAGGGACAAGCCAACCCCTCTCGCCAATACGGCCAACCTCAGTAGTGCTCCCTCACTGAATTTCAACGACAGTATACTCTCCTTACCTTGTTATTGCACTCTCTCTATATTTTGCTTTCTTTGTTTATCGCCCCACTATGTGAATGCCGTACATCGTTTCGCTATGCATTGAGTGTTATATTTGTTATAAATAAATATATGCATATTTGTGTATACATATTTACATGTATCTATACACGTTTTTTCCTGGCAAGCACTGGAAGTACATGGGCACACAAACACGTGTGTGAGCACATACATGTGTAAATATACATATACATGCAAACACACACACTTGTGTCTGCGTATGTATATGTATGCTATATGTGCGTACATATATGTACATAAACATACACATGTATAAAAAAATATATAGTCGCTGCTTAAAAAGGGAAATGTAAACGTTGCGTCTTATCGCGACCTACATTTCTTCTCTTGGGGTATATAAAGGTGCAAGGCTTGCGAGCCAGCATCACTTCTTGCAGTCTGCACTACAAGTATATCGATAATATCAACATGAAGACGGTAAGTCTGTTAGCATTCTGGCTCCATTATCAAGCTTCATAAAGTGTTAATCAGTAGTATAAAAATGGTAAGATCAACAATATTTAGTCACATATATGAACATTCCAGTTGCTTCTGTTCTTGCTGGTGGTTGCGTCCTGTCCAGATCCCCATCATCCGCGACAAGCGAGTCCATCCTGCCACTGACGGCGCTTACAGCTATGACGTTGAGACTGGGGATGGCATCGTCAGGCACGAGTCTGGCGGTCCATGTGGCGCTCAACAGGGAACCGTCAGTTTAGTTCTTTCACTCTTCACATTTTTAACAATCAGAAAAGTGTGTATACCTGTTTCGGGTGCACAGGATATTTAATCAACAACGAAAGTAAAAGTCGTGTCTATGTGATATATATATACATATATATAAATGTGTGTGTGTTAGAGAGAGATAGAAAATTTATATACATATACGAGTATATGTGTATGCAATCCATGGCCTATTTCCAGCTTCACTTTCCCAAATGGCCAAGTCTTTGATCTTCGGTTCGTGACCGATGTTAATGGTTACCAACCTGTATCATTTCGGTGTGTGTAAAACAAAGTATGTTAAGATTACATATGATTTAGTAACAATGAAAAAAATAAGTGTTAAAAAAATACTAATGATTGTAAGTACTCTTATCTATTTATGCTATATTTCCTAAAATATCTGTAGCCATTGTGCATCAAGCTATAAGTAGTTTTAGATGGGATATTTTTTTTTCCATGAGTATTCGGTAATGCATATCATATATATGTGTGTGTGTGTGTGTGTATGCGCGCGCGCGTTTATGTGTGTGTGTGTGAAAGAGAGAGAGAGAGAAAGAGATAGAGAGAGATTGCGTGTAGGATAGGATAAATTATATTTCCTAGGAAATTGCCACATTAATCACTACTTAAACACAATTGCTGCCATTTGCTTTACTAGTAATGCGTAAAATAAACTCTACGGTGAATTATGTCGTCTCAGTAGTAAAATTTTCCTCCCCGGCGGGGAATCGAACCCCGGTCTCCCGCGTGACAGGCGGGGATACTAACCACTATACTACCGAGGAATTCGAAAAAATGAGAGTAAAATTAGAAATATGTTCTGCTATTTTTAATTGATATTTAATTCTTCTCATACACCTTTTCATTAGAAACATTACTAATTATGCCATTCTTCACGGTGATCGTGCCAAATAGTTAATCGTCTTGTCTTTTACTGTAATGATTTTTGTTAAAATATGCATTTAGAAATTCCATTTATAGTAGTTATAACCCTCAGGTATTGGTGGTGACCAGAAACTTTGAATTAGAAAAGCCTGAAAAATATATTCATATATATACACGCACACAAATAAAGCATATGCAACAGGTACTTAAAAAGGGGAATGTAAATGTTACCTCTCATCGCGGTCTACATTTCATCTGAGAGGTATATAAAGGTGTCAGACCTGCGAACCATCATTTCATTTCTTTCTTGCAGTCTCCACTAGAAGTACATCAATATTAAAATAAAGACGGTAAGTCTGTGCTAATCAGATCAACAATATTTACTCATATATGAACGTTCCAGTTGGTTCTGTCCATGCTGCTGGTTGCGTCTGTGGCTGAGAGACATTCCGTCTCCTACGACGCCAGTGCATCCCGCCCATCCTCACCTGTACAACAGATTCCCATCATCCGCGACGAGAGAGTCCATCCTGCCGCTGACGGAACTTACAGCTTTGACGTTGAGACTGGGGATGGCATCGTCAGGCACGAGTCTGGCGGTCCAGGTGGCGCTCAACAGGGAACCGTCAGGTTAGCTCGTTTACTCTTCACATTTTTACACAATCAGAAAAGTGTTCATGCCTGTTTCGGGTGCACAGGGTATGTAATTAACAACGAAAGTAAAAGTCGTGTCTATGTGATATATATATACATATATATGTGTGTGTGTTAGAGAGAGATAGAAAATATATATACATATATATGTGTGTGTGTTAGAGAGAGATAGAAAATATATATACATATATATGTGTGTGTGTTAGAGAGAGATAGAAA